AGAGTGCAACCGAGGAAGAAGTAGTACTCGAGAATTTCAATGAAAAATAGGCCGAATAAAAAATTGCCTAAGCCCACTACTTCCGGCTTATATGGGATTCCAGTCTGCCTCATTAAAGAACTAGGTTATAGCACTAAAGAAGCACTGCTGAAATCGGTAAAAAAGTGCTTACAGGAGATGGAAATACCAGACACTTGGCGGAAAAAGTAGAATGAACCTAATCTATAAAGGCAAGGATGAAAATACTACTATTTCCTCATATAGACTGCTAACATCTGTGCTATACAGGATGGCAATGCAGGCAGTAAAATAAAAAATTGAAATGTGGGCAGGGCAACATTATACTTTGGGAGAACTTCAAAATGACTTACTAATTGACAGGCGGTTAGACGATAACCTGTTTGTTCTTGCTCAGTGTACAAAAACAACTAAAATAGAAAACAGGCCCTTATACATAGCTTATCTGGACATCACTGGAGCATATGACAACGTTAATCAGAAAATTATGTGGGAAATATGGAACAAAGTGGGCATAGCAGGCGACTGTATACGCCGAGAAAGAACGGAAGAAATATGCCGAGAAAATACGGTTTTCATAGGATGGGTAGGAAGTAGCAATAACAGCGTTGAAATATATAAGAGGCTGAGACAGAGGCGTCTTTTGTCCTTGCTGTTATTTATGCTGTACATAGTGAAAATGAAAAAAGCGCTAGAAAGTAGAACATTGTATTTCATCTGTCACACAAACAAGCTGGTGTGATGGTTGAGCAGAAGCTTCCAGGTCTATTTTATGCAGACGATATTGTCCTGTTTGCAGACAGTCAAGACGATGTAGAGCAGCTGGCAGATATAGGTCGAAGGAAAGGTGAGACTCTAGGACTAGGATTTAGTGCAACAAAATGTGGACTGATGGTACTCGTTGGTCAGGAAGACCAGGCGGTCTCGATACAGTGCCAAGAAATACCGAGGGTAAGCGAGCACAAGAGCCTCTAAGTATGGGTAAATGAGGGAGATAGATTTATGGAGGCACAGGAAAAAAGATCAGCAGCAAAGGGAAAGGAATACAATAGATACGAAGTGCTTCGAGGTCTATGAAAATTCGCGATTGTTGCAGGGCTGGTATCTCTGTCACACATGACAACATAAGTGCACTTTGAGAGGGTACACTTCGCCGCAAGTGTCAATTGCACGCTGTCACACAAGAAAGTGTAGCGTCACTGGTTGCAGAGTTCACTTTCTGGCAAGTGTGTTCCCCACCTTCCCTTCGCCGAGATGAAGTGTGTAGCCTCGGTACCACTGGCTTGTACAAAAATACAATGTTGCCTAAAGCAGCACTCATACTATTTTTAGACTGCTGTTTTCGTAATGAGGAATACTGCTATGTATTAAAACAAGTCACAAACTACAACAAAAAACGTCGCCACTCTCATCGTTGGGCAGTTTGCAGCACCGTCCCCTAAGGGGCAGCCCATGCTGTGCAATAGCTGCGTCTGTCACATGGTTTACTTTCAGGCACACTTGCGCATGTGTAGGTGAGTTGTTCTCTATCATTTAAGATGGCGTGTGCCACAGGTGCAACTTCCACAAAACATCGTAGTACGACGATGGGACACAGGGGCAAAAATAACAAATATACGCCGTGCTACCAATCCATAAATTGCCACTTACAACATTTACACAGTACACTTCATTTTCTAGTGTAGCAGCGAACCGCCAAAATGACACTTCGCGAGTGTAATTACACTCGCTCAAAGTGCAATTAAGTTGCCACGTGTGACAGGGGTACATTTGAGAACTCAGTGGTGTGCATGAAGTCGGAGGTGCAATCAGGAATGGATGCAAATCAAAGGACAGTGAAACGCCTCGCATTGGGCGTTCACGGGAAGACGACGAATGAGGCTGTAAAGGAGGATGGGCAGACTTTGAAGGGAAGCTCAGAGTAAACTGAGATTTGAAGAGAGGCTTAGGAAAACGAAAGAGAGTAGATGGACCGGGAAAGTGTTCAGGTATTTGTGTAGGAAGAGCGTGGACGTAAAGCTGAGAAAAAGAACTAGGAGGATCATCAGTAAATACATGACTGGCACTGTGGGCGATATGGCAACAAGGCGCACTGAGCAAAACGTTGCAGAGGCAGAGAGGATTTATTGAATGACAGTGATGGAAAAAAAACCTGGCTCTCAGTAACTACTGAAAGTGCAAGACCGAAATAAGGCGGGAGAGTTTTTACAATAGTTCAAGGGGAAGCACTTTACTGTTCAAAGCGAGGTCAGCTTGCCTTACAATGGGTAGTCATAAGACAAGGTTTAGTTAAGAGGAAGAACAATGTACACACTCTGGGGGAGCTAAGGAAACGATGGAACATGTTCCGATTGAATGCGGCGATATCCACCCAGGTATATGTGTGGGTACAAGACTACACGAGGCTTTGGGTTTTAGGGACAAACATGGAAAGATGCACACGTATTGCGATATAAGCAAGTAAGAGGTGGTTAGAGTATTACTGGTAGAAAAGTAGAGATAATGGACAGAAATAATTGGCAAATGAGGTCATTCTGCCTCAAGAGGCACAGAGATGGAATATAAATTTATATTTTTCTTTGTTATATTAAGATTGATTTAATCGAAGTAGATAAGGCATTAGGCCAACATAAAAATGAGCGTTCCTTTCTTTTTTTTTTCTTCTTGCTAGCCTGGTCACACATGTCACCCACCCCGTTATTTTCATTTATTTAGAAATACTGCCAATTTCAAACGAGGTCAAGGCAGGAAAAGGAGGGGTCGCAGCAGAATACATAAAAACAGTAAACAAATAATACTAAGTTGTACTACAATGTGCTAAAATACATATACGCAAACATAAATTACTACAGATTATATAAGGATCCACTAGAAAAAATAGTAACAGAAAAGAAAACTGTACATTAAAATAAATAGTGCAAATGAGTTCTGCCGAAACCCGCAAGGTGGCGGAAGGGTCTTTTTTTCCTTTCATAACAATAAATAAATCAGAAAAAACATAACCGTATTGTGTTAGTAGGTTTCCTCAGTTCTCGTGATCAATGTATCTATCTAGTGAGTGGACGTTAGCAGTTGATGGATCTAGTTTGTTTCATTCTGTTATGGCTCAAGGGAAGTAGGAGTATTTAAAGCAGTTAAAATCACGAATATATTTAGTTAGTGCCATGGAGTGTGTATTACGTGTAGGTCTACATGAGATTACCCAAATATATGTGGTGGTGTCAATGTTTACTTGACTGTGTGTTGACTTGGCTGATGCATGAATTGTAATCTAGTTAGCTTGGATCTATTTTCAAGGCTAATTACTAAAAATGCCCAGCCTTTTGTAGTAATTTAGTCGATGAGACTGAAGGCTTTTCTCTAGATCATTTCCAATTTATCAGTGTTATGTTTAGTGGACGGGAACCATGTAATGTTAGCATACTCGAGAACTGTTCGGATAAAAGTTCTGTATGCGGAAAGCTTGATGTCAGGCGGTGCAAGACAGCAGTGTCTTCTGAGAAAGAGTTTTTTAAAGGCGGTTAATGTGAGAGCTAATCTCGTGTGTAAGTAATAAATATAGGTATTTGTGTTCTTGAACTCAAGCTAGCTGTTTGTTATTTGCGGTATATGCGAACTACTCGGATATGCGTTTTTTTTTTTCTGGTAATTGTTAGGGCAGCCGATTTATTAACGTTAAGGGTCATTTGCCAGTCAATACACCATTTAGAAACAGAGTGCACCGCTTCGTTTAGAGTTGTGTGATCCTTGGAAGAGCTAATTTCATGATAACGTGTACAATCGTCAGCAAACAATCTAATTTAAACCCCTATGTTAGATCATTGATAAAAATTAGGAAAATGACTGGAGCCAGTACGCATCCCTGGGGCACTCCAGATGTAACATGTGAAGGAGTTGATGAGTGGTGAATTTCTACAAACTGCAAACGGTTGGTGAGGCAACCTCGTATCCAAGAGATGATGGGTCCATTTCCCACAGTTTGATTCAAATTTAGTCATGAGTTTACTATGAGAAACCCGATCAGAAGCTTATAAAGGGGACGCTCATAGCCTCTATCCACTCCAGAGTCTGTCAAACCAAAGGTCCCCAGATAGAACAAGCAGTCTAACCAACACTCCCAAGCTACGACACACACAAGGTCCCCGTTCGATACGAAGGCACAAGCGCACTATTTATACTCCTTCAGGACAAAGAAAGCAATGTAATGTTTTACTATTTGAATGAACATGCACACTCTGTCGATGCACAGCTGCAGAAATGCGTACTCAACTGAACCTTCATTGTACACACCCCAGCCGACAAAAAGGAGCGGGCTGTGAGAGCGCATTATGTCATAAATGTCGAACGCTCAACAGCATTGCACTTTTTTGTCGAGCCAAAGCGTGTAGAGGCAACCGCACTTCGGCATGGATGTCGGGCAGGCAGCGACAGCCCGCTCTGAGCAAAAAATCACACAAAAAAAGCGGCGATCGCACGTCATCGACGTCCAAGGTCAACGCGAAGTGGACGAAGGCTCGCTAAGGGTTTGTCATCGGAGAAACTTAGGTGCAGAGCAGCAGCAAAGAAAAGCAATCGCAGCCATTCTTCCGAGTCGACCGTTCACGCGAGGCAAGAAAATAAACAAAAAAGCGTCGTCCGAGTTAAACTAGGCGATCAGTGGTGGCCAGTGCACCACCTTCCAAACCATCTTCGCTTGCCGCATCAAAGCCGCGAATGGGCGGCAGCACACATCGCGCTCCAACAGCAACGTCGACCGACCATCTTTCGCAGCCAAGGCGCCAATACGGAGAACAACTGCCGAACACAGCGGCCGAACCGAGAGCGCACACAAGAACCGAGCGCCTCCGGCGGAGATGGTAACCGAGGGCGCCGCACGAGACACTAGGCCTAATCAAGCACGTTTGTAAACACGTACCAGCGCCAGCGAAAACAAGCGGAAATGCAGATGCGCGCAAAGGCGCCCAGAAGCTAGATCCACTCACCTCGGTGGCGTCTCGTGGTTCACATCCTACGGCTCGTCCCTGTGGCGTGCTTCTGTCGGCCGCCCGCGACGCCCATGTTGTTTGCCGTGAAAAACTCCAGCCATGCAAGTGGCTTCACGAGCGCAAAGGCAGCGGTGACTCTTGTCGCGCCAAACCCGTCGAGGGCGCGTTTGTTTTTTTGAGCCTCGGCTCTTTTCTGTTCGTCACAGCGTGATCTCAAGTTTGTTCTCTTTATTGCGGCCCACTCAATTCGAGGGACTCCCGAGTTCGAACGTGGGGTCTCATCGCCTCGCGCACTTGCGGAAAGGCTTCGAATAAATAATTATGCACACCAGCTCCATTTATCGGCAACGGCGTGGTCACGAACCACACTGACGCCCGCAACAACCCACGTTCAAATAAAACAAAAATCAAAACTGCTTACGCTATTACTACGCATTAAAAATTGTTTGTCGTTTTTTTCACAAACGATTTTTTTGACCAATCTTATTTGACCTATTTGATTTACTGCGGTCCTCTTTACCGTATGGTCACAGAGCACCTACCAGTTTCGTCTCCTTCCACGTGGCTTCCGGTTGGCAGTAGTCGGCCGCTGTTTACACCCGCTGCTTATTCTCTCGGCGACGTCGGCCAGCGGGGCACCGCAGCAGCAGCTATGGCGCTTAAACGTCGGACGGGCTCCAAGAACCCTCCAATTTTCAGCCACGAGTTTGTCATCCAGAATCATGCCGACATCGTGTCCTGCGTGGCCATGCTTTTCGTCATGGGTCTCCTGTTCCAAGTGAGTGATCGGCCGCTCATGTCGAGACGCTTCGTTGTTAAAGCCGCCGTGCGCGCGACCGGCTTTTTGTGGCATCAAATTTGGTTCCCTGTTTGCCATTGCTCAACTGTAGCTGTTTTAAAATTATTGCAGTTTGTTCGCGGGTGGTTTTACCAAGCCTCTTGAGCGGCGTTATCTTGGGAACGGTTAGTTCCTATGAGGGTGGCGATTTGGGCTTGTTGGTATGGTTGCATGATGATGGATGGTAGCGCAGACACCGAACACGGACAAGAGAAGGCACATAGACACAACACAGTCATAGCATCGGAGTGTGCATCGTGTTTGAACGATTTCTCATTGCGGTGTCCGGCAGTCTTCGCCACTTTAGGTTGTGCCGAGTTTCACTTTCAATGGTGCTGCCGGGCCATGCAGTTCCGCTAGCTTTTACTTTTCATAGCGCGACCGCGCGTCAAGAAAGCTATGTGGCCTCATTTGCTACTCACCTCGGTCCGGTTCAAGCTTTTCTTAGTATCCGGCATGCCCGTTGCTCGCTCGGAACTTCGGACCGCTCTTTTCCTCTCTGGACGAATTCAGCTGACGATGACCATCACTTACCTCGCAGGTTAGCGCACCATATGCGTCAGTTTTCATCGCCGTGCACCACAACACCACCGACGGTGAGTAGAGCTTGCTCTTGTCAGACGTGTGTTTTTCTTTATCCTCTGACCCTAACAAGAATAAGGCGGCATCTACAGCACACGCCCAACTTTACGAAAATAACTTTATGAAGTTAACATGGATAAGCGTAAGCACACAAAGTAAAAATGATCAGGTATCTGGCCTGCATAGAACATGAAAGAGGAGCCTTATTTACTGGCAAGCCACATGGGAAAGATTGCTCTGTCTCAAGTATTGAGTGTTGCCGGAAAGCTTTGGAAGTCGCGTGTCATGCGGATGCTCATCAGTGTCTGTTTAACAGTGGCAAAAGAAAATGTGGAGCACTATAAGCGAGAGGACAAGTACGCATTGTGCGCAGCTGCAAAGCCTGTCAGCGCAAAAGCAAGGCTGCACAAGGTTTATTGGGTTGAAATGGACACAACATGGACTGTCAATATCATAACTGAAAACATGATGCCATGCTTTTTTGTCTGTTCCTTTGGTCAGAAGAATGACGTGTTCCAGCAAGCGACCTTAACTCTGGTTTAAAATGTAAGATATTTAATGTATGCATATCTCCCTCATGCTATAATAATTTGGACATGCAAATGTGCTGAGATTTGCCGCTTTTTCCCAAAGGAAGAAGGCTGGTTTTTTTGGGAGCTATTTTATGCAGTTGCCTTAATTTATGTTGAAAAAATGTTGAGTATTTGAGCAATGCCATTCACTGTAGCATTGCTTTCCTTAGAAAAAGTCGGCTAAATGTACATGTACGCAAAACACTCAGCCAAGTAGTTATTCTGCTTGTCAGCATAGAAATGCCAGTGAATGCAGTAACATGTGAATATGCTGCACTGAATAATCGCACATACCTTGATCATAAAAAAGCTCTTCTTTCACACTGAATCCACCCAGCCAGCGCCATCATATTCACACACGAACATAGCCAGTAAACAGCCCAGAGGTCTAAAAACTGTAGTGAAAGAGAAATACGCATACTTTTGATTTGTGAACATGTACTCTAATATGGAAGCAACAGGGGTTAAAACATCCGTTTTAGCTGGTTTCGATTTTTCACATGGCCTAACCACTGTTATCCGCCGTAGGGAGAAGACGTAAGCCGTCATTGTGACTTCGCACATTTTGGCAACATCACAGGTTGTGGTGATACTTCATCAGTGTGCTACCACTCCACGTGCCAATATAGGTCATCAAGTTGCCCATGGGCGTGCTTGCATTACTGCACGTACGAGGTCAGGCACAGGAAGTGTTTTTTGAAAGGGTCTGCGCGCTTTAATGTTAGAAAAATGAGATGCTGTGGACTACTGTACACATTGGCAAGCTTGTTGGAGGTGGGGCGCTAAAGAAAAAAAAGTCTTGAGCCTGTTTACCGGCTCTTAAACAAGTCTACAATGCGTGTGCCGCGACGTGTCAGATACTCATTCAATCGGTGTGCACGAAATGCTTGTCTTGCATTGAAGCGTGATGTTCACGTTTTATGAATGCTTTCTCGATAGACAACTGACTTTCATCTAACTTAATTATTGCACCAGAGGATTGCTTTGCTGAAGGCCATAGCTGCCACAATTGATTAGCTCCTTTAGGAGCAGCATTCTGGGAAGCATACCTTGAGAGTAGTTCTTATTTGCTTGAAATGTATTAAATATATAAAAAAAAGAAGTATCTGGATTTTGTGCTTGCACGGGTACTGACACGAAAATATTTGGTTGTCATTTTTCTGCACCAAATGAACGGCCACACCATCAAGATCCTAGAAAGCATACTGCGGAGTGCAACCTAAAAAAGTAAATACGTAATGTTTTTAAAAAACTAGTTTCGTTTTCTGGTGTACCTTGACGATACAGCACTGTATCAGCTCCTGGAGACGTTTGCACATCTAAGCGGTTGCACAGCAGCAGTCATTTTGGAAGTATTTGTACCTGATGTCATCACAGCGATTCGGACTGCTGCATCAAGTCACCAGAATCAGTACTGCAGATTGATGTCAAGCTAGTGCTGATGTCTGTAGGTGAGTCATCAAAAATGTGCTCTTAATATGAAAATTGACATATCTGAATTTCCTGAGCTTGACGCTTGCTCAGAGCTGTCTCTACGTACAGAGTATATGTGTGGCAGGGTAAACACGCTTCTGGAAAGAAGTGTCAGTACCCTATTAAGAATGTATTACATTTAAGTAAAAAGGAGAACATGACTGACTGCCAAATAAAAAGAAAATATCTTGCTTCTTTCCTGAAATATTATAAAGATATAATGTTTACAAGGGTAGAAGTTTGGGCTAGTTTGTCTGGGTTATTCATGCTAGATTGTTATAGCGCATGAACATAGAGGGGTGAGTGGAGGAACGGGCTTTAGTCTACTCTGTCCTGTTTCTTTGTCTATATTAACAAGCTGTAAAAACCTACCATTATAAACAGATTTAATGATTTTGTGTAAATTTCACACATGTGTGCACAGTTCATCATGATTCATACCTGAAGAGAATACCTTTTGCTTAGGGGACTGCATATTTTTTTAGTAAAAGAGCTTTGCGACAAGGCGCTGAGCGCTGCCCAAGTAATTATGGTATGTTTTCTTGCATTATTTCTGTCGCGTGTTTTTTTTTTTTTTCCTAATTGAATTTGTGCTCCTCTAAGCAAGATGTCTAAACAACGAGCCCAACAGCTCACCACATAGAAATTGCACCGACGACAGTGAGAGCATCATGCCGGAGAACGAGCATATCGAGACATGTTTCCCATATCACATTGACGTTATCAAAGCATCACATGGTGGTCATTTGATTATTCACGCACAGAGATGTTCTTGCCATGTCATTCTCACACATCTGTTATCGTGAAGTCTTTTCTTTTTAAAAGCGGCTACCATGACATCATGTGCAAGCCATTAATTTGCACCCTCAGGTGTTCTAAGGATCACTGTGCTCAAAGGGATCTTGGTTTGAATTTCTTATATGGTTTTTCACGCTGGGCCCTGGAACCTTCTCAAGCACTTTCTAGATGAGGCTGAATACCAAGTCAAATCAACGAAGCACCTTGGGATGCAATTTGCGCGCGGCCAGACAGGATTCCACGCACAATGAAGTTATACGGGTGCTTGTGAGCAAGTACCTACAGGTGGATTCCAGCCCGAAAGATGATCGTTCCCTGAAGGATTATGATGGCGTTGAGAACTCGTGAATCAGATGCAGACTTGGGAGTTGAAGAAGTCAGGCGCGCCCTACAGGACTTAAATGGCAAATCGTCACCTAGTCCAGACAAGATCACCAACAAAGACCTAAAAAACCTGGATGACATATTAGTAGAGCACCTCAGTGAGTTCATCAACCAGTCTTGCAACAAAGGAAACGTTCCAACACTACGGAAGAAGGCCATCCTCATCCTTATTCTCAAGCTTGGAAAGCCACCCAGTCTCTACAATCTTAGGCCCATCTCGCTCACCTCACGTGTGGGCAAGGTAGCCGAGCACGGAATCCAGAACAGGCTCTCCCGACACTTGGGAGACAATGACGTCTATCCCCACAACATGATAGCCTTCAGAATTGGGCTTTCTTCTCAAGATGCCATGAAGCTAATCAAGAATCAGATCATTGATCGCAATTTGAGAACAATTCTTGGCCTTGGAGAAGGCTTTTGACAACATCCTACACTCCTATGTTTTGGGAACAATCTCAAGCCTTGGTCTGGGAAAGAACTTTTTTGACTGCACGAGATCCTTTTTGGCGGGCAGAGAAGCCACCCTCAAAAGTTGGAGACCTTGTTTCAGACTCCATAAACTCGGTTCTAAAGGTACGCCGCAGGGGTCAGTCATATCTCCGAGCCTCTTTAACCTCGCCATGATCAGTCTGTCCAGAAAACTTACGGAAGTTGACCATACCTTATATGCACACATCACCAAATGATGCACGGGGGGCAGCGATGGCCATTCCAAAGCTGTGCTTCAAGATGCTTTCGAGGTCACAGAAAGCTACCTCAGACCTACTGAACTCTGATGCCCACCACGTAAATCAGCCCCAAGCGCAGGGGCCCCAAGCCGAAAGTTTGAAGGCCCGTAGAGGACATCGACATCACTCTAAGGACAAGTGAGGGTGGTATCATTCCCAGGGTAGCCATCCTCCGCGTTCTGGGTATGATGAGTCAAATGTTTCAAATAACCAGACTGTACAGAAACTTACAACGAAAATGAACAATGCCTTGAGCTGACCAGAAGGGTTGCTAACCGGCAGCAAGGACTATGGGAGGACAACCTAATCATGTTGGTGCATGCTTTTGTGATGTGTCACGTCACCTACGTGGCCACGATGCAGAACTGGCGGAGGTCGGAGCGGAACAAATTGAACACGCTAAGAAAAGCTGTAAAGGGAGCTCTCGGGTTCCCCATGTAGATGAGCTCGGAGAGGCTGCTTCGCCTCGGTGTACACAATACGCTGGAAGAAATAGTGGAGTCTCAAGAAAGGGCGCAGTTCACGAGACTTTCTACCACCAGAGCCGGTAGAAAAAGCTTGGAGTTCACCCGACCGAAATCGATATCAGCTAGTGCAGCGTTCCTCAAAGACAGTGAAAGCATATTACCGTGGCGTCCATACCTTGGATTGTCCACCCTGAATACAGTTTAGGCTGACGACGGGCTAGGGCTAAAGCCCTCCTGAAGAGTGCAGCATGCCAGGAGTTGCTGCCTCTTTGATGTTGCGCGGTACTCAAGCGGAAAAGAATTCGTTGTAGTCACTGTTGATCAAGATGGCATTGTTATGAACTCCTTGTTGGTCTGTACCATAACGGCCGAGCTTGCCGAACACGTCGCAATAGCCTTTACCCTGCTAGACAACAGGAGAACAACAATGTACAGTGACTCGAGATCAGTAGTCCGGCATTTGGTAGGGGCACCATCTCAGGAGTCAGCCTTTCAGATCCTGCGAAATGAAGAGGTACAACACACAATCGTCTGATTTCCAGCTCACATGGGGCAGATCGAGAGCTCTCCGTCCAACCTTAATGAGAAAGCC